TATCTTCCCAATAAGAAATCAACCATAAAACCAGTCGCACGTCCTGAAAATAGTCTATTAATTGCTGTAAATTTCACATATTTTCAGAATATAAGTATTTTGTGCAGTGACAGTTGATTATTTTGATCGTTTAAGGAGATTTTCTTGTGAAATGTGAGAAGGAGCAGAGGCACATAACAACAGGTAACTATTTGTTTGCAATGGCTGTAACATATGTCGCGTGAAAGGTACTTGCTAGTAGTATTGACGTTTTTATAAATAACCCTGTACATTTTGATATCAAAAAACAATAGGAGTTGTTTAATTAAGTAATTAAATGGATATTTGAATACAACATTTAAATTTAGCACCCCTAAATATGTATATCATATGGAAGGAAAACAGAAATATGAAGAAGACTCTATGATTGTTACCCGAAATAATGTTTTGTTGTTAGACATTATTTATTTTTTTCTGAAACCTTGCTAACTGGTTTAATATCATAATTGAAATTTCATACAAGTTTCAGTTAGTTTAATTTTTAATTAAAATAAATGTGAAAATTATTTACGTGCTGATAATAAAGACGTAACGAAATTCAAATAATGCATTATTTATTTTTAATACAAATATTTATTTTTAACATTTGTTAGTAATGTTTTGATTTTACTTTTAATGTCAGGTTTTTTATGCTATGTGTTGAATTGGGAACTTTCCGGTGCCCTATTTCCGGCGAGAAACGAGATTTTATAATGATTGAGCTTCCATCTGCGCGAAAGCCTGTTGCTCTACAATACAACCTGCGCAGACATGATGACGTGGTATTTCTATGAATAATTTCAAGTTATCTAAAGAATAAATGTACAAACCACCTAAGTATAAATCTTACTTCTTACTTATAAATCAGACTAATATTATAAATGAGAAAGTTTAGATAAATGGATGGATTTTTATTAGAGTTTGAGACCTAAACGACTGAACAGATTTCGATGAAAATTGGCACAGATATAGAGGATAGTCTGGAAGAACACATAGGCCACTCACTTCTTTTTTATTATTTCAAGCAGATGGAGTCGCGGGCGAAAGCTAGTGCAATATATAAATTGCCCCAATAATTAGTAATTTGTATATTTTAAGAACGCTCACTTTCTGACTTACATACGAGGTGTTACTTTTCAATGCCGCAGCTGAACAAACTCTTGCAGTAGAGTTTCACTGCCGTGAATCTTGTATTTAGGCGTATTACCGTCTCTGTTTTATCAAAGAGAATGTAAGTGATAGCGATATGTTACAGGTTAGTGTAGTTCTTAGGTTATTTCAACCGTCTCAAATCTTCACACAACCAATTATTTTTTTAATTACACATTTAAGTAATCTACATACAACGTGTTAAACTAAGTTATTGTAATATGATATTATGTTTTATTACTTGAACGTAATAAAAATTAGTTGTGATATATCAATGAAGTTGTGAATAACATTGAGTTTTCCTTTTGGGAAACAACCAAATCTTCAGTTTTCGTAACGTATTATTTTTTTAACGAGTATTAGTGAAAAGCTGATTTCCTTTGATTTTCCCGAAATT